AGGAAGGCGAGAACTCAAGAAAAGCTTGGGAAAGAGATGTGTTTTCATTTCATACAGAAAACTTAATAGACTCAGCATCATTCAAATGGCTAGAAGGAAGGCTTTCCAAAGTTGAGCGGTCACACAGAAAAGGCCCTGTCCCTCGTGGCCACCTAGTTTACCTACTTTCCCAGCAAAAGGGCTTGATCCAACAGAACTTCCAGGCCCTTAACTGATTCTATTAGTGATAATGCTAAGGTGAATAGTATAACTGCCTCAAGAGTCTCAGCCTTTCCAACCGGCAACACCTCTGTCTTAACATGTAAATCATGATGGGTAGACATAATGTGATCACAGTTGCCCAAACTAGTCACTAACTATGCTGTTGAAATCTGTCATATTACAATCAATTTATTACAATTTATTTATTTATTTGAGTTTTATCCCGCCCTACCCCGCAAGCGGGCTCAAGGCGGCTCACAATATATAAATATAACAATTTAAAAGATTAAAACATAATATGATAAAAGATTAAAATTCAATTGAGTTCTCTCTGTTTGTGCAAAGCTAGCATGCTAAAGGAGATCAATTTGACCCCAAGTTATGATTTGAAAAGCAGCCCAAATAGCCTAGTTTGGCCCAAGCTTGTCAGGGTTTTGGAGCTAACGAGCCTTCCAGTCACTGGCACATAGGTCAGGCTAGCCAAGGTTCGCACATGTTACATAGATGACAGAAAGTATCCCTAACTATGATTGGTACCTGAATTTTCATGAAAAGGCAAGATGAAAAATGACAACTCAATTTTTTACCGGACCTCCACTAGCCTTCAACATAAAGTGGCCAAGGGAGGCAAAATAACTTGTTGGCTACTTCTTTCTATCTGCATCCTCTCTGGCTTCTCTTGACTGAGTATAAAGTGAATGTTAATTCCTCCATCATGTAATGTACATTCCAAACTGTGTTTATGTTTGTGTAATCCTGTACCAGTATTGCAACAATGACAGGTGCAGTAACTGTTATGTCTACCAATAAAAGATAAGTTGTTAAGGCACACAAATATGAAGTAGTTTTACAATCTGGAACAAAATAACAGTGCAATCCTATGCAGAGTTACACCTTTCTATGCCCAAGGACTCCCACAGACTTAGAAGGGTACAACTCTGCTTAGGACTGCAGTGTAAATTAAAGTATTATTCATTATTTAACAGATGTATATTACTACTTCATGCAGTTCCAAGTAAGTAAAAATACTTCCAACTGGACAAGCAGGTAGAAATAATTATCATGTTTTAGATAAGAATTCTATATGATGACATAAAGAGAACAGACTCCTGAGACTTTCTTCCAACTGTTTTGAGAAACCAGGTAGTGATGTTTGCTAGCTAAGATGAAACATGTGAAACAAAAAGTAAACAGGCCCAAAGCTGCCTAAGGGAAAGTCAGCAAGATGGCAATTTCAATCATTTGGAATAATACTAAGCCAGCCCTGGGCTTTCCTCAGAGTGGAAATATCTCACCATTACTGCAGCATTTCAGCAAATCAGAATGCAGAAGAAAGGAACTCTTATGTAATCACATCAGTTAAACAGAACTTTACTCAGCATTTAAGTGTAAAATAATGAGGAAATTCCCTTTTTTGGGAACATAAATATTGATAAGGGAAAAAAACAATTCCCTTAAAGTTCTAGTTTTAAATCATCTGTTCAAATGGTTTGAAGTGACGAGGAATTAGCTACATACTAAAGAAGAATGACATGTAGGCACAAACTTGTTAATTTGAGGTACACGAGATATAAATGCTATTTCAAAAACGTCTGCCAGAAAATTTCATTATGATAACTAGCGTCAAAAATATTTAAAATATTTAAGGAACTTACCTAATCAGTACATTTTAGTATGTATCTGGTCATGTAGCCATCTTTAACTCAATCATCAGAAAATCAAAGGCAAATTGGCATGACTCAACCCAAACTTTAATACCGCATGATTGTGTCGTGTAAGCTTGTTTTGTGTGATGGCTGCTGTGGTTTTAGCAGAGAGATTAATGACTGGACCTAAACTGGCCTCCAAACCTTGCCTCAAGCTCTTTGAAGTCTGACCATCGTACCTGGCAAAACAACAGTGGGAACTAGGCTGGTGTCAGATCTAATCAAGTTGCCTGCCTCAGCATAGCTAACTATGGGGTGCACTAATTGGCCCAATTGCGGATTATACCTTTTGCTACAGATTCAGGACAATAATTTAGTCAAATGATGGTTTTTATCTCCTTCTAATTAAGATTCCGAAGTAGGAAGAAATAGGATTAGACAAGCTAACTTCAAAATTGTGTGTCTTAAAGTGGTATGAACTGAGAGTTTCTCTACTATTTTAAAATATGTACAGTGCTATGAAATATCAAGCAAACCATTTGGTATGTACACTCATTCTGTCATTTCCACAAGCAACAAACTAAAAAGAATCTTCATGACTATCCAGAGTCCAATACTCAGTACCAAAACGAAGCACTATTTTTGGATTGATTAAAATGTATTTAAGTGCTTAATGTAATTCAATTCTATTATTTGCTTATCAATAATATAAAGATAAGCTGTTTGTTTATAAGCACATAGTGACAGAACAGGTAGAAAAACCAGGAGTTTCGAGCAACTCATTCAGTGCACCCATTACCATGCTGTCACCTGAAAAACAACACTCTAGTGATACAAATGTAACACAGCAATTTTGTTCCAAGACTCCTCTGAATCCCTACACTGAGATACTCATCTGTTTTTCAGACAATTTGCTTTCATCACTATGACCATATGAGCATACTGTAGCCTGCTACTTAACTCCTACAATCTTCAACCACTGCATTCATAATTGTGTTCAAGAACATGTTGTGTTTTCCAATGTTTTCGTAAATGACATACATTAGGGTTAAAATTCAAGCCATTTGCTATTTATCATTTTTAATGTAAGTACACAACATGATGTTATTTTTTCTTATTTTAAATTTAAATATCTTTGTCTTTGTGATAAAATCATCTTCCTTGTATAGAATAGAGAAGTATAAACTGTGCTTCCTTTTTTACTGTCTAAAAACATAAAACTGTTTATACATCTCTATTTTATACAGGGAAGATGAAAAATGGGTTGAGGATTATCAGGACGACGATGCTGTACATTCAAAGAATACTGACCTGGTTTATCATGCAAGAGCTTTCTTTCCAGCAAGAATGGAAGTAAATATACGAAGGGCACACTAAGGAGGGCTGAAATTATTCAAGTAGATCATCTATGAAACTCTACAATTTTTTTCACTGGGTCCCTAATACTGATAAATTGTATGTCTTTACCCATAAGCAATATAAATTCTTTCTAGTGAGGCCACTGGGTTTCAACTTCGCAGCAACAAAACACTGATAACCAGACTTTTTATGGAAAGAGGAAACCTTCTGATCCTAGCTTCCTCTTGGAAAAAAAATCAATTTAGTGGTGTAATTTATTGCAATAGAAGAAAACTCTGCCAACTTGCCTATATCAGTGAAAACAATGACAGTTTCTGCATTTTAAACCCAAGCATGAATATTAAAGTCCCTTACTCTACTAGTGATTCAGAAGATGAACAGACTTTTGATGAAGTGAAATTATGTTAAAATGAACTGCAATACTATAGTGTTTAGTTCCATCAAATGTACTCTTTTCTGAGAACTAAAAAAATCTCACAAAGGAATCACCTTCTGTTAAAAGGGGGGGGGGGGATGATACAACAATCTTTACCGTGCATTTGGCTTTAAGTGGCTTTTAAATGGAGTATCACCAGTTGAGAAACTTCAAGTACTCATGCAGTGATGACCAGGCTGAAAAACTGGCTTCTTGATTAACTATTAACTACTTTCAATAGGACTAGATAATTAAGGACATTGATGACCATTATTAGAAGGAGGCACTTTAATTTGTCACTAGATAGGCTCTTTTCAACAATTTATAGGTTAGTGCAACTTGCCATTGTGGAGAGGGGGAGAGAGAGAGAACCCTTAAGTTACCTTATCAAGTGGCCAGCTAAAGAGGGCAGAGGGTCAAACAAGGGCCAAAGTGGTCACTTAAGGGTGAAATCCCAAACACCAAAGCAGTGCCAAGCCACATTGATCATCATTTGATGATGAAGTTAAAAATATGCTAATATATTGGTGGCAATTCTTCCTTTTACGGTTTCAAGCAGTTAAGACAAGTGGCCTGCTTAACAGCTTTTCATTTGAAATGAGATTAAACTGAATGATTTGTCAGGCTGCTCAGCTATTTTATGTCTTTGTTTAAAAGCTGCAGAGACTGTACTGCTTACTATCCCACCTCCCCCCAAAAAACTATCCCATTTTTTTTTTTTTTGCTCAGGATTGACTTGGTTAATCAGCTCTAATTACTTAATAGTTCTATTTTATTTGCTCTTATCACAATTAAAATGAATTTATCTTTTATATTGTTACTTGCTATCCAGGGACTCTGCATAAAGGTCAGAGGAAAAAAGTTTACATTAAGCAAAACGAAATGAAAATCAGTATCAAAGATACTGTGTTTAAATAATAAACATGACCCAGTAGCATAAATAAAATAATTTTTGAATACTGATAAGGACATTTATCCCTTACACCACTTCAATTTTAGGCATCACACATTTTTTAAAAAAATCAACTGAAGTAATGACATGTAGACACTTTCCCACTTACTAACACAAGTAAATTCAAGTCATTAACATTGAATTAAAAATGGTCCTGACATAGTTAGAAAAAAGTATGTCATGCTTAGTTATTGAAAACTGTGGCCCATTTTTATTCATTCATTTTAAAATATTTTTCTGAACACTCTACTATTTGTATTGTAAAAATTGGTTTCTTTTTCATTATAAAAACAATGCTTTATAAAGCCCACAAACCCAGCTAAAAACTATGCAGCATCTGATGCAAATTAAATGTAGTTAGTTACACATTGAAGCAAGGATTTTACTTTTCTTCCAGAACTGTATTTTTTTTTTTTTAAAAACTTACCTCAATAACAAACAGCTTCCTTCTCAATCTAAAAGCAAGGTCCTTCATATCTGACACATTACAGTTGAAGCTATTAAGCCGAGGAATCTGTCGTATGTGAATCAAACCTTGTGAAAAGTAAAAGTAATGGAGGTCAAAATTAAGAAAATGCTGATATCCAGATGCGTAAATTAATGTCTTACAGCAGAATTCAGTATATTTACACACACTCATCCTCCCCTTTTTAAACTGGAGCTTACGACCAGGAGCAATGAAGCAAACGGTGCGATTATACTCAAGTAATCAAGCAGAATAAGATAAACAGAAATCCTTGTGCGAGGAAAACTAATTGCACTTTGGTACAGAGGTACAGATGTAAAGAGGGATCTTAATACTTGTCAAAACTACAGCCGGTTTGTGTGTGATTTTCTCTTGTATTTACAGTAAGCAAATATGGCTATCACCTTGCATGCTGCCCACGGCACCACTGAGTGATCTTTATTTTATTAAATGCACCAGTAAGCAGCCAGCAAAGCAAGGCTCATGGGTTACTGATAACAAGTGAAGCTCTAATGAAAAGTATTCTGTTTTGCAGCTTGATAATGACTTTTTAAAAACTCTACTGGGAAGCAGAAGTGTTGTGTGATAAGTTTTAACTACTCCATAAGCACAACACAAATTGTTTTCTGCACACAAGACTTCCAATGAGCTTGCTGGAATTTTACAACAATACTAGGCACACTGCAAGCTCTGCATTCTGTCAGCTGAGTCTCAAGCTGATTTCTTCTGACAAGGATACTGGATGGTTTCTACTATGCAGCTTAGTATAGTTCCTGAACAACCCAAGGTTCATTTTCCACAGTCGAAAATAAGAAATATTTTAGAAGATATCACAATTAAAGCTTGTATGAGTCATTCAACAAATCCAAAGTAGCTAGAAAAAATACTGGACTACTCAAATTGTGTTTTTGGAAGCAATACTAGCTTGGTGAGCATTCTCTGATGTAAAGTAACAATCGATGTTTTAGGAAAGAAATTACAAAGTTTATGTACATAAAATAAAATCAGTTATTTTGAAATTAAACACTTCCTAAATCATCTAAAATATAACCAATTTGCATTTCTGAATGCTAGAATATCAGTTTTGTAGCACACAATGCAGCAGCAATATATAGGTCACATGTAATTTCATTTATATAACATTCAAAGCATTGGCCCCAATCCACCTAAAATTAGTCTTGACTACTGCAAATTGACATTAATGGAACAAGTTTGTCACAGGTATCTTAAACCCCATTACTTTCAGTGGTATTCTCACAACCAGCTTCAACTGCACAGAAGCCATTATTTGAAAGGAAGTTACAACTATTTTAAATGAAGCTTGGTTCCATGTAATAGTTTAAGCTATAATTTGTGTGTGAATGACACTGCAAATATAGACAGAACATCCTTCGATGTTTTCTCTGCGGTGGCTTCTGTTCGCAAAGAGACCAGCCACTGTTTAGTTTTGAAAGCACCTTGCCTCTTCAGGGGAGGTATTATTGGAAAGAGCTGCCAGAATACCTGTGCATTAATTATTTCTTTTTTATCACAATCACTATGTTTAGAATTGCATAAACAGGCAATATAAATATGATCAACTCAATGAAATAAAGCCTATTTCTTGGTTAAGGTTTCGATATACTCAAGATGTTTTTACTTATTAGCAACAGACTGTATTTTGTCTAGTACCTGTCCATGGCAAACCACTGTCCCTGTTTTACTTTTGAGGAGCTCGGAAAAAAGAATGCTGTTAGTGTGCTTAATCACTACATACCTAGATCACATCAGTGAATGTGTTGGTGTTACAACTATCCATAGTAAAATACAAATCCTACCCACTGTAAGATTACTAAGCAAAGCATTCTTGCTAAACAAGAAAAATGTGTTTTGGTCAATTTATGAGCATACAGTACTTAAGAAGCTGATGCAGGACACTTTAAATGAATGCAACAGGTTGACCAGCAATGTGTGTGCATGTGTTAAAATTATGAACCTTCCTGTGAGAACAAGGGCTTTAATAACTCCTTAATTCTTGAGCGTGTTTTCTTCAGTGAAATGTCAGAGGTGACACATTTCCTATTAAACCATTCAAAACTGTACACTGAACAAAAATAATTTATTAAATTAGAAAACAAATACTGCAAAAGTCATGACTTTTACCTTGGAAACCACCTCTGTTTACTTCTTTACAGAACTCAGAATACAAAAACACATTTCTCAAGCATTTAGATAATTCTCCAGAAGTTTAAAAACAAGCTTTTAAATAGTGGAGGAACTTACACACACAAAAAAAAGGCAGAGGGTTAGCACAGAAAGGAAGATAAATTTAAAAATGCAACTACAATGCCAAAATATATAAGGAAATGTGTTTATTATCATAAATATTCCCACCACTATTAAAAAGTGATGAATCTGGAAATATCATAGGCCACTTCTGCACTGTCATTTTTGTCACCTGTTTGTCCCTATTGCTTTGGGTCCCGTCCTCCCCATCCTTTCCACATGTATTTTCCTCCCTCTGGGACTACTAGAGAGAGCAAAGCACACTGGGGAGAAAAAGACCCTGAAGCAATAGGAACAAATGAGTGACAAAAATGACAGTGCGAAAGTGGCCATAGCTGACTCTATCAGTGCTACATGGACCTGTAACGAATGGGGAAAATAGCAAAGTCTTTTTCTTCAGTAGCTTTTGTTCTCTGATTTTGTCACTATACAGTAACCACTGCAAGAAAATTATTTCCACATATTATTTACTGATTTAACAAACTAGTGCCTTAGCCTTGCTTGCTGACACAAAATTCCAGAGCGCTATCCAATTTGCATTTCCATATCTAATGTAGAACAGTATTTCCATATTCTTACAACTTTTACAGAAGAGCTTAAACAAATAGCAGCCTTTAGACTGGAGGTTTCCATGGAATTACAGTAGTGCTACAATAATAATAGTAGTAATTTATGCACACTCAAGCCAGTACTCCGTATTAGCTAAAACTGTCATTCAGAGCTTAGCCTCTCACTAAGTTTTAAACTTTAACAAGTGGTATTGTAAGACATTTCACCTACCCCCCCCAACCCCTGTAAAAAAGGATCCATATAAAGATGTTAAGCATTTTAATCACCCATTAAAATGTTGCATAGAAAATGTTTCTACAGCAGAAGTCCTATCATATACAATTTAAATTTTATTCTAAACATTTGTCTTAATTAAAATCAAGGAAATTAATTAGGAGTCTTTAGACGGAAAGCTTCCCACCATGTTGTACCATTTCGCTATTTGTTTACTGAAATATATTACTGTTCTCTATTTACCAATTGGCAGTTCAAAACTATTGATTTCATGACAATTACAGTTTGCTGGTCAGATGATTGCCAGACCTGCTCTCCATGTGAATTCCCCAAAGCCTGCCGGTTGAGATGTACCTCTGATTGAGCCATGCCTCAGTAATGCAGCATGACAACATGCAAGGAGTAGCCATGTTTCCTTAATGCATTTTAATGAAAAACTGCCTAAATCAAAATCGGTTAACAAGGTGAACCATAAAAAGGGATATTCAAAAATTAAATCAAATTCTACTTTATGTCAGATACTCCAGTTGGAGGGTAAACTGCTCTAAGTGTCCAAGAAGCACTTAGGGTAGACTTTTTGCATTGCTAAGGATGGAACTTACCATGGTAATCCTTGTATAATGGATTGGTTTCTCTCTCAGAGCCGATAAATGATTCAAGACCAACTACCGTATCTGACAAGTTAGTAACACGTTCCATAATTGCTTTATTCTGTAAAACATGGAGACAATATGCACAACCCATATGATGAAAAAGGTAATTAAGGTTCAAAGAATAATTCTTTATCTTAATGACAAACTGAAGTAAAAATAGGTCATAATACCAAGAAATTCTTTAAAATGTGTCAGGTCAAAGTTTATAAAAATGTTACAAGGCTTTGGATGACAGAGTATATCCCTTAGCTATCCCATATAGCACTGTAACATTTCTATAAACTTTTTACTATTAAAATTACGGCGAAATACAAAGGATATATAGTATTACATTCTACATCTGGGTAAAAAAATGAGGAACACGCATAATAGATACACAATACACTTCTGTGTAGCAGTATGTGTGAACAAGATCTTGGGGTACGTCTGGACTATAAGTTAAACATGAGCAGCCGATGTGATGCAGCAACAAAAAAGGTGAATGCGATCTTGGAGAGTATCAACAGAGGCATAACATCCAAATTGCTAGATGTCATAGTCCCGCTGTACACTGCATTGGTCAGGCCACATCTGGAGTATTGTGAGCAGTTCTGGAGGTCTCACTTCAAAAAGGATGTGGACAGAATGGAGCGGGTGCAGAGGAGAACAACAAGGATGATTGGGGGCCTGGAGACCAAGCCCTATGAGGAAAGGCCGAGGGACTTGGGAATGTTTAGTCTGGAGAAGAGGAGGATGAGGGGAGACATTTTTGCTCTCTTTAAGTATCTGAAGGGCTGTCACTTAGAGGAGGGCAAGGACCTGTTCCTGTTGGCAGCAGAGGACAGGACTCGTAATAATGGGTTTAAATTAAGGGCAGGAATGTACCGGTTGGATATTAGGAGAAACTTTTTTACAGTAAGAGTTGTTCAACAGTGGTGAACAGGTGGTGAGTTCCCCCTCATTGGCAATCAGTAACCAGTGCCTAGACAAACACTTGTCAGGGATGCTCTAGGCTGATCCTGCATTGAGCAGGGGTTGGACTAGATGACCTGTATGGTCCCTTCCAACTCTGTGTGATTCTATGATTCTACAATTTATTATATATACATAAGGCATGATCCAGCCAAACTGGATTTCAATGGAAGAGTTAAGCAGGTATAATAGGAAGGAACCAATATATTTATTACAGTACTTTGAATACATTTAACATTATTATGGTTCTTGCATTTAGTCACATTTTTAAACAATTGAAACTTAAAAAACCCTGGACTGCCAGTGGTGGTGAAAAGTGCTGTCAAGTCCCAGCTGACTTATGGCAACCCCGTAGGGTTTTCAAGGCACGTGATGTTTAAAGGTGGTTTGCCATTTCCTGCCCTGGTATTCTTTGGTGGTGTCCCATCACACAAGGCTGATCCTGCTTAGCTTCTGAGATCTCATGAGATCAGGCTAGTCCGGGCTACCCAGGTCAGGGCGGACTGGTAGTAATCAATTTGTAAATAGCAAAATAAGATATTTGCCCGAATACAACAAGACTTATATATGATCAAATCTTGGTTTCCATACATGTATGAGTGTTCCAGATCCAAACACAGAACTGGATGCTGCTACAGAAGACATGTGAAGGGGGGGGGGGCGGTACTGAATCCAGCACCTTCTTTCTTTTTTTATTTTCCAACAGATATTTAGAGCAATTCTGTGTGGGGGAGAGACAAGGATTCTATCCCCATCACCCAGTTTTTTAACCTATATTTATAGAGTTTACTAAATTAAGTCTAATCAAAACTGCCATTATACATGGATATCTGTTAAGTAATGAATGCTAACAAACACTGTCATGTCAATTCCATACTATTTTGTCTGTTCAAAGATTTAGCAACAGGAATTTCTCTTCCAGGAGTCCCAACACTTATTTAATCATTTTAGTATCTTGCATGTTAACTCCCTTCATCTGAAATCAATGGGATTCAAACGGCTTAATTTTGATGGACTCTACCCAGATTGTTTTATGTTGATAATGACTAAAAGGTTTTTATTTCCCACTTTATTCTTTATGCACATGTACTTCTCACTCAACCTAATGGATGCACTTAAAAATGTTTGCTGGAAACACATGAAGGCTGTCGTATGATATGTTTGAAGAGATTGAAAAGGATCCTGGATTCAATTCACAAGGCATGATGATAACCACTCAGCAACAAATAACCTGGCCAGAATATGCTACTCATGCAAAGTAAGATTGAATGACTCTGCACTACTTGAATTTTTTTCACAGTACCAAATAGGTTTGTCAGACAAATGGTCAAAACAGGAACCACTGATTTTATTGGGTATCATATCACTGTACTCAGTTTGACACTACTCTGTCTCTAGCTATGACAATCCTTCATGTCCCATAGAAAAGGAAATTGGGACAAGAAGCAGAAATAAATATCTTTCCTGACCCCAATGGGCAACAGCTAAGGCAAAAAATGATCTTAATTAAAATACCCTTCATAAACACAACAAGTTCTGCCTTTCACAGTTATTTGTTCTAGCAAACAAAGAGGCTATTAGAAAACCTGATATTACTTATGGAAGCCACTTTTACTAACTTTCTATGCAAGTATTTGTTGTTATAAGACCTAGAGCTGCATCTCCACTGCAATTCTTTGATGTATTTACAGATTCCAACTGTAAGTGCCAATTTCCATTTTCTCAATAGTTCAATTTCTAAAAAACTCAATTTTGGCTATAATCCATACTGTTTAGTCTATCAGAAACACATCCAAAACATGAATTTGCCACACATTTTTTTGTATGTTACACTTACGTTGCCATCAGCTAATATCCTGAGATTTCCCACTTCTATTATTTCCAACGTATGTTTCATCAAATACAGGACTTTACATTTTGAATTTACTGAATGTCTATTATTCACAAAGTCTCTGGTTTATGATCAACAATTACTCAGTCTGTAAATTTATTAACAGGGCCTCCTAAATTTACTGAATTTCTATTATTCACAAAGTCTCTAGTTTATGATCCACAAAGTCTGTAAATTTATTAACAGGGCCTCCTAATTTGGTATCAACAGTTTCTTCAAAATACTTCTACTTCCCTAAGTGTTCTTGAAAAACTCCATTATTTACTTTTTTCCATCTTGAAAGTTTGACTTTTATAAATTCTATTATCTTCTCTTTATTCCTTATTAATCGTATAAACCAAAAAAATGTTTTCTTCAGACAGAATATCAGATTCATTTGTTAAGATGCACCCATGCTGTGTTTGTGATGAACCCCTACTGCATTACAACCTCTGTTATTTTTTCCTGGTTATTTTTCATTATTTTTTACTGTTTGTTCTAAGGTATCCTACCATTTCAAACACATATTCTTTTTCCTTGAAGAAAGATAAAATGTTAGTTATTGTGTACTTATCAGGGAGTTCCCACCTGAGTTTGATTTATTATAAATGGTTACTAGTGTGCTTATTTCATATGGCAACATCTAATATTCTGGAATGGAATTACGCCATTCCTCTATGAGAATGAATGAAAATCTTTAGAGTGCAATGCTGTACATGTTTAACCAGATAAGTCCCACTGTGTTCAATGGGCCTTATTCCCAGATAAGTGTGAATAGGATTGCATTACTCTCAGGTACATCAAAATTATGCTGATCTACATCAGCTTCCTAATGAAATCCAAGGGTCATATTAGCCACAATAGTAGATAATTCATTAACTAATCCAGTTAATTTTTTAATTGAGAGACAGGACCCCTCTGTGAATTTTGGATCTGGGCTGCAGTTTAGGGAGTAAAGTTTGTCAGAACCTTCCTCTGTGTTTTTTCCTCACCTTTTTAAAAAAAATTAGTAATACATATAAATTCATTACACAAGTGTAAGTACACCATCAGAACCTTGAAATTTTAACAAAAGAAAAGAAAATACAGGCTTAAACCAAGATTGGGAGGGGGAGAATCATCTTTGTAAACTGGATTATTCAAAACAATATCTTGTGAAAACAGAAATTGGATTAGTGGAAACCAAATTGACATGAAATTATTGTGGACTTTATCTGAGTATGGTTGGATAGTGCCAACAGTGATCTTCACCATAATAAAATAAGACCATATATGATTAAACCAAGTATCAATGTGGGGTGACAAAGGATTTTTCCAGTAAGCAGCAACAGTATTTCTTGCTGTTTGCCCCTCTCACTTCAAATGCCTCCCCTCACCAGCCATTTGCCAAGAAACAAAAACAACTTACAGCAGGTCATTTGAGGTCAGTAAAATGATGTGGGAGAAAGAGTTACGCTACCACCAAAGTAAGAAAAACTACATTTTGAATTTTTTTCACACAAGTAGGTACTGCAGACACACTGCTAATGCAAATACATCACTCATATAATAAGACTAGGAGTAAGGCCCACTGTGGGAAGAAATACAACAAGATCTAGAAAGAAGCTTCAGGTGCTTTCTTAATAAGGGGAGGACCAGACCTGTAGATTTGAGGGGCAGAGGTTGGGGAGGCCAGGGTTTGGGATGGGGAGGGACCTCAGAAGGGTATAATGCCACAGATTCCACTGCCCAAAGCAGCCATTTTCTCCAGGAGAACTGACCTTGGAGATCTTCAGGTGCTGCCTGGAGGTTGGCAATATTAAGTGGAGGGCCAGGTTTGTTGAAGGACTTGAGATATAATGCCATAGAGACAGAGGTCATTTCGGGGGGGAACGCGGGGGGACGCAGTTCCCCCGGGTGAGGTGCAGGGGGCGGGGCACATGACGAAGCCCCGCCCCCTGCTTCCGGCCGCCCCGCTTCCAGCCCTCATTCAGCCAGGAGGAGGCAGGAGAAGAGGGAGGGGAAGTTGCTTCCTCCCCGGCTCTTCCTCCCCGGCTCTCCCCACCCCTGCCTGCCTGGGGCCAGGGAGGGCCTGGCGGGGGCTTCCTCGCACTCCCGCTGGCCTTGCAGGTCCACCGCCGGGCCCCTGATGTCAGGGGGTGTGGCATATGCTAATGAGTTATGCTAATGAGTCCCCCTAGCTCTTTTTCTACGAAATGACCCCTGCATAGAGCTCACCCTCCAAATCAACCTTCTCT